GTGCTTGGCAGGAGCCCTCGACATATTGCTGCGTTTGTGCAACCAGTGCTGGCATTCGAAGTCAATTCCACAGGACTGGTCGCACTTCTCAGTCACCACGCTTTTCAAGAGAGGTGACCCTGCGCTGCCTTCAAACTACCGTCCAATATCTCTACTGGCAGTTGGATACAAGGTGCTTGCGAGCCTCATCCTGCAGCGACTGCGATCTGGAGGGGTGGGGGGCCGGCTCCGGGACAACCAGTTCGGCTTCCGACGTGGTCGCGGCACCGACTTGGCCATTCTCACCGTGCAGCGGATGCTGGACGCCGCCCAGGATCTCAAGCATGGAGAACTGACAGTGTTGCTCCTAGATTGGTCCAAGGCTTTCGATCGCATCGACCCCGGCGCCATGCAAGTGGCGCTGCGCAGGTTTGACTTGCCTGAGGAATGCGCGGACATGGTCGCGTCCATCTACCAGCACAGAACCCTCACCGTGCGCGACTCTGGCAAGGAATCTGGTGCCAGAGAGCAGTCCGCTGGCATTGCCCAGGGCTGTCCGCTCTCGCCATACTGTTTATCCTCGTTTTGTCTGTCATCATGGAGGACGCGAATTGGGAGCGCGCGGGCAGCCGGACAGATGACGTCGAGTACGCGGACGATACAGCATTGATTTGCAAGTCGTCCGCTTGTTTGCAGCGCGCCCTCGACAGCCTGCTCTCGCGGGCCGCCCAGTATGGATTATTGCCTAATTGGGACAAGACCGCGGTGCTGCAAGTTGGAGATCCGCCGCCCATTTACGATCCGAACGGCCAGCCCATCCCAAAGACAGAGCAGCACATCTATCTGGGCGGTCTGCTCACCACCAGCGGCAGTGCCAGGTGCGCCGTGGCACGCAGGGTGGGCGAGGCGCGCAACTCCTTTTCGCTTCTGACGAAGGTATGGAGCCATTCATCGTTGGGTCGGGCAAGGAAGCAACGCATATACGAAGCGTGTGTCGTCGCCAAATTGCCCTGCATTTTGGAGACGGAGCGATTGAATAAGGCAGAGTTTTCTCACATCAAGTCGTTCCATGTGCGATGCCTGCGGAAGATATGGGGCATCCCGCATCCGACGATATCCCGGGTGTCCAACCAGGAAGTTCTGAAGACAGCGTCGTCGAGCCTGCTGGCAGACCAGCTAGTCGCCAAACAGATGTGTTTGTTTTGGCGGCGGCCATGATGCCCGACGCATCTATCGCACGACGCTCCGCATTTCAACCTTCATCCACGATGTTGGCACGCCCAGGGGGCGCTCGAAAACGAAGGCGCCCAAGGGTGTCGTGGGGCCAGAGAGTCAGGGCGCATGCACTGAGCGCCGCGCAGCATGACGAGGACCGGCTAGCAGCAACGCTGTCGAATGGCAGCGGCTCCTTCAAGAACTGGAGGGCCACTGTGCGGCAGCATTGCTGTTCTCTTTCATAGGGGCTTGCCTGCTCACTGTTGCCCCGCTCCGGCCCCCCCCCCTCTCTTCGCCCCTCCCCCTCCTCCCCCGCCCCCCCCCCCTCCCGCGCAAGCTAAGCAGGCGAGTCGCTATGATGCTGCCTTTCTGTTTCACACGCCATATGCCTTGCGTCCGATGCGCCGTCATGGCACGGCTTCTTCGTTCGTTCGCATAGACAAGGGAACCTCAGGGGAGGGAACCCGGCCTGGCTGGGATGATAATATTTTATATTTACGATGGACGAGTGGTCAGAATCACATATGATTTACATACCCGAAAGGGGAACGGATAAGTCCGGGGGGGGGGGTAGAGTCTATTCTCTTTTTAGAAAGGAGAAATGACTACCCTGCACCGCGCTTGACCACCTCCACTGCTCGCGCAAACATCCCACCCACCCACCCGCATATTGGTTTGCAGAATCTCTTAAGAACGTGACGGTGGGTACCACATGGCACTTGGCAACGACAGCGACGCCGACGACGACAGCGACAACGACGACGACGACGCCGCCGACAACGACTACGACGACACCGACGACGTCTCCAACGATTTCGACGACGCCGACAACGACGACGACGACGACACCGACGACGACGACGACGCCCACGCCGAGGACGACGACGATGACAACGACGACGACGATGACGACGACGCCGACGACGACGACAACGACGACACCGACGACGACGACGACGACGTCAACGATGCCGACGACGACGACGACGACGACGACGGCGACGACGACGATGCCGACGTCGACGACGACGAAGACGACGACGCCGACGACGACGACGAAGACGACGACGTCGCCAGCGAGGACGACGAGGGAGGAGGGAGGACGACGACTGCGACAACGACGATAATGACGACAACGACGAGGGAGGAGGGAGGACGGCGACGACGCGAACGACGAAGAAGGAGGAAGGACGGCAACGCCGACGACGATAACAACGAGGGAGGAGGGAAGACGACGACGACAACGACGACGACAACGACGACGGCGACGAAATAGGAGGGACGACGACGTTTCGTCTGACGGACGACGTGATGACGTAAGGACGACCACGGCGACGGCGACGACGGAAACGACCACGACGCCAAAGAGGACGACGACGACGAACCCGAGGAAAGACAGAGGACGACGTAGGCGACGACGACGACGACGACGCGGGAGGAGGGAGGACGGCGACGACGACGACGACGACGACGACGCAAGAGCGCGCGCGCACGCTTTTGTTGAAAACCCGTGTTGCGAAACCTTGTGTTTTTGTAGGCTTTTTGGACACACGATTTCGAAATCTTTCCGGAACCGATGGGTTTTGAAGGTTTTCGGCGTGCGCGCGCGACGACGCGCGCGTCTGCACTTCGTCACATTTTTTGCAGAAGATTCGTGCACACGTCTTATGTTATAACAAAAAAATGTCCCCGCATACTTTTGCTTACAAGGGAACCGCAGGGGGTGCGAAACGGCCCCCCCTGGGATAGTGTAAATTCATAGTTCGGATGGGCATGTGGTCGTACTCATACATGATTTACATACCCGAAAGGGGGGCGGATAACGCCGGGGGGGGGAGATTTTAGAAGGGAGAACCTATGCCGTGCAATCCACTCTGCTGAACTTGAAGTCGTCATATCCACTGCTCGCGCAAACATCCCACCCACCCGCCCACAACTTGGTTCGCAAAGCCTGTTGAGACCGACTACGACGACACCGACGACAACGACTGGGACGACACCAACGACGTCTCCGACGACTTCGACGACGACAACGACGCCGACGATGACGAAGACGACGACGACGACGACGACGCCAACGAAGGCGACGACGAGGGAGGAGGAAGGACGACGACGGCGAAAACGACCACAACGACAACGACGAGGGAGGAGGGAGGACGGCGACGACGCGAACGACGACGAAGGAGGAAGGACGGCGACGCCGACGACGACAACGACAAAGGAGGAGGGAAGACGACGACGACAACGACGACGACGACGGCGACGAAATAGGAGCGACGACGACGAGACGCCGACGACGGACGACGACGACGACGACGTGGGAGGAGGAGGAAGGACGACCACGGCGACAACGACGACGGAAACGACCACGACGCCAAAGAGGACGACGACGACGACGAACTTGAGGAAAGACAGGACGACGTAGGCGACGAAGACGACGACGACGCGGAAGGAGGGAGGACGGCGACGACGACGACGACGACGCAAGAGCGCGCGCGCACGCTTTTATTGAAAACCCGTGTTGCGAAACCTTGTGTTTTTGTATGCTTTTTGGACACACGATTTCGAAATCATTCCGAAACCGATGGGTTTTGAAGGTTTTCGGTGTTCGCGCCCGACGACGCGCGCGTCTGCACTTCGTCACATTTTTTGCAGAAGATTCTCGCGACGGCACACGCGCAAGGGCGTTCGACAGATTTCGACATGCGCGCGCGCGACGCCCGTTTGGTAGCATTTTGTGAAAATCTTGATAAACCTATGGTCTTTTTTGCCAGATTTCGCAAGAGCTCGCGCGGAAGTTTTTTTAGCAAATCAGTGTTGCGAAACCTTGTGTTTTTGTATGTGTTTTGGAAACTCGATTGCGAAATCTTTCCGGCACCCCAGGTTTTTGAAGGATTTCGGCATGCGCGCGCGACGACGCGCGCGTCTGCACTTCGTCCCATGTTTGCAAGGGACTCGCGAAAAAGTGCGATGTTAGAACAAAAAGTGTCACCGCATAGTGTTTTTCACAAGGGAACCTCAGGGGGGGGAACCCGGCCTGGCTGGGATGATACGATTTCATATTTAGGATGGACGAGTGTGCAGAATATATGTATATGTATATGTGTATATATATATATATATATATATATATATATATATATAGGTGTGTGTGTGTGTGAAATTATACTATCCCAGGGGGAAGCGTTAAGTCCGGGGGGGGGGGTAGAGTCTATTCTCTTTTTAGAAAGGAGAATTTACGTGGTGCTATCTACATTGTGCAACGTGTGCAATCTGCGTGGTGCAATCTACGCTATGAAATATATGTCGTGCCATCTACGTCATGCGATCTTTGTTGTTCCACCCGAGCCCCGACGACGGGCGGCGACGACGCGGCGACTGGCGGCGACGGGGCGGCGACAGGGCGGCGACAGCGGCTACACAGCCGCCGGACCAACAGACAGGCCAGACGACGGTCGGCGGCAAGGTGGCGACGGGGCGGCGACGGCGGCTGCACAGCCGCCAGACCAACAGGCAGGCCCAGTTCCTTGGACAAGAAGTAAGAATCCCAAAGTGCAAGCACTGCTTGGGAAAAAGAGATGGGGGAGGAGGGGGAGAGAGGAGGAAGGAGGGAGGAGCAGGACGAGGTGGAGGTGAGGGAGGAGGAAGTTGGGAGGACAGAGGAGGGAGGAGGAAGGAGGGTCTGTTTTGGATTGCGACGCCGATGAAGACGGGAGCCTGTCGGCAAAATGGGAGGAGGGAGGGAAGGGAAGAGGAGTGGGGGGGAGGAGAAAGGAGGGAGAAGGCGGTGGCCACCCCGGCCACAGGACGAGCGCGGCGTGTGCCTCGGAATGGCGCTCACGGTCGTCTGCGGGGAGGTCGGTGGCAATGGCGGCATGGCTCACGGAGGGATGGGGGGTGGCTCGTCCTCATCTTCTCTGGCCTTCCACCCCCATTTGTTTCATCCGTCGTCCTCAGCGTCCTCAGCGTCATCATCATCATCATCATCATCATCATCATCATCATCATCATCATCATCATCATCATCATCATCATCATCATCATCACCATCACCGTCATCAGTATCATCATCATCATCACCATCATCATGATCAGCACGCTCATCATCATTATCATCATCACCATCATCATGATCAGCATCATCATCATAATCATCATCATCATCATCATCATCATTATCATCATCATCATCATCATCATCACCAACAGCATCAGCATCATCATCCTCATCCTTATTCTCGTTCTCATCCACATCCCCAGCCTTATCCTCATCAGTAGCAGCAGTATCAGCAGTAGCAACGTCAACATCATCATCAGCCTCATAACCATAATCAGCATCATCATCGCCATCATCATCAGCAGCATCATAATATTCATCAACAGCATCAGCAGCATCCTCATCATCACCATCATAGTCATCTTAACCATCCTCATCATATTCATCAGGATTTGCATCATCAGCATCAGGATCATCATCATCATCATCATCATCATCATCATCATCATCATCATCATCATCATCATCATCATCATCATCATCATCGTTTTCATCATCATCATCAACAACATCGTCATTCCTCTCCTCCTCATCGTTCTTCCACCTCGCTCTCCTCCTCCGCCTCCTCCGTGATCCCTCTCATTCGCCTCTTCCTCGTCCACCTCCCCTCCCACCACGGCCTCCCTGCTCCTCCTTGTCCCTCCCTCCTTCCTTATGTTCATCATTGCCCCCCTCTCTCCCTCCTCCTTCGCCTCCTCCTCCTCCTCCTCCTCCTCCTCCTCTTTCTCCTCCTCCTCCTCATCCTCATCCTCCTCCTCCTCTTCCTCCTCCTCCTCCTCCCTCGTACTGCGGGCTCGCCTCCGCGCGCGCATCGTCTGCGGAGGGGCAGCAGTTGGAGGAGGAGGAGGAGGAGGAGAAGGAGGAGGAGCAGGGGTGACGCCGGAAGATGGAGGGGGGATCGGGACGGTGTTGTCGGTCTTGGGCCTCCTGCGTGCTCCGCGCCGCCCAGAGTCGCCTGCGCCCTCATCGTGCCTCCTGCCTCCCGCCCCCATCCCTCACGTTCCCCCTCTCTTCTTCTCTTCGTCCTCCCCTCTCCTCCCCCTCCTCCTGCGCCCCTCACTCACTCCCTCCCTCCTCCCTCCTCGTCTTCTGGCCCTTCTCACTCCCACATGCTTTTCCTCCTCCACCTCCCCCCCCCTCCTCCCTCCGTCATCCTCCTTCTCTGTCCGCATCGACCTCCCCCATTCCTCCATCATCCCCCTTCCCTGTCCACATCAACCTCCTCCCTCTTCGCCCTCCACCTCTTCTACCCCCCTCCTCCTTCTCCTCCTCCTCCTCCTCCTCCTGTTCAGCCATGCGCTTCCTCCCCGTCCCTCCCTCCCCTCCCCTATCCTCGCCCTTCCCCTCGAGAGCCGCATCGATCGCCCCCCCCCCCCCCCCTCGAGAGTGGGTCGGGTCACCCGGAGCGCTCGCGAACCCGATGTGGCCCGCACGGGCAGGTAGGAGCGACGACCTTGGAGGCCCGCTGACCCGAAGCCCCCGCCAGGTTCGGGGGCGGCCGGGGGGGGTGGTGACTCCTCCTGCCCCTCCTCCTTCTCCTCCTCCTCCTCCTCCTCCTCCTCCTCCTCCTCCTCCTCCTCCTCCTCCTCCTCCTCCTCCTCCTCCTCCTCCCCCTCGGTCGGTCGGTCGGTCGTGCGGCCAGAGAGTCGAAGCCGAAATGGAGAGACGAGAGCGAGAAGACCACTGGGTGAAGAACAAAGCAGAGGCAGCAGCAGGCCCGAAGGTGGAACAAGCTGAAGCCGCGCCAAAGACGCAGCACCAAAAGGAGCGGGAGTTCCTGAGGTTACTACCTTTAAAGTGGGTGTACACTGTGAGACACGAACAGGCGGACAAGGGCGATGGAAAAGGGTCCTTTGCCCCAGGCAAGTGCAGGTACTGTTGCAAGCAACGAGTTGGAGCCTATATCTCCAACGCCTCTGGGTTAGTGTCTTTTTAACCGTGGGCGTACACGGGAGGAGGCACATGGCCCCGTCAAAACATTCACACAGAGGCCCTTCCCTATACACAGCCTCCCGTCTGAGCAGCAGCCATGGGGACAGAGAAAAAGAGAGAGAGAGAGTGGCTTGGTCCTTGCACACATAACGCACAGCAATCACTGGGATCCCTGGTAGTTATGTAACATGCAGTCCATGGCATACGTTGTGATCACATACGGGTCACTGGGAATGTAGTACCGACGCAGGCCCACCGGTAATTCCCAATTGTCCCCAGTACCTCCCAGATCCAACGACTCTCGTCGGCAAGCCTCGCGAGACGGAGGCCATCGGAGAGGGGAGAGGGGAGCGCCAAAGCGCACAGGGGGTACAGACGGGCGTGGGTCCATACTCGGTGCGCTGGGGCATAGGTGGGGGAACCTGGAACGAATGTCCTGGAGCATAGTAGCAGCAAGGCATAAACAGAGCCCCGATGGGTAAACCTCGGCGGCCGAAGTCCCTCAGGTGTTGTCAGCCCGCAGGCCGCCGAGCGCGGGATGGGGAACACCATGAGCGCACAGCGGCCCATCAGGCATGGCCCCCAGAAACTGGCCCATGGCGGGCAGATGAACACACAAGAGGACGGTTGGTTTTACAACTTTGGCCCAGGCGCGGCACTGGTGGATGATATATTTAGTAACACATTGTCGGGCGACCAGCCGTCGGATTCCTGGCAATGCCCACGCGCTAGGACAATCGGGCACCCTATCATTATGGGCGGGGTTCGAGCACGGCACGGACCTCGTGGACCCAGGCTTCATACCTGAACAAAAGCGCCGTGCGCAGCAACTTGTTGCCGAACTCCACTTGGGAGCTCTCTCGGGTGGACTGATGATGCCCCAAGCCCCGCCATTTGGAGGCCGACCTCAAAGGCCGAGGGGGTCTGGCTGCACCTGGAGCGGGCCTGTGCCTGGCGACTGACCAGGTCTCACAGGACGGGCCCGCCAACGCCCCAGCTACTCTTCCTCACAGTCGAATTTCGGGCCATAGACGGAAGGACTTGGCCTTAGTTAGGTCACCAACGACGGGGTGATTGGCAATATCAAGGTTCAGCACGTGCAGTCTAGTAGCGTGGCGTTGAGCCTCGATGTGGTCCTGAACATAGCGGGCCCTTCTGTGCCCAGAAAACAGATGGAACACGAACATACACGGGAGCACTGGTACACGAACGGGGAACCAGTCCTGTGGTTGAGGAGGTGGGTGGTGGGTGGGTGGGGGGTGGATGCCGCCTGGGGGTCATAAGCAGACGCTTTGACGGCTGCGCGCGACGTCTTCACCACAGGGCCGACGGGGGGGGCATGGCACTGGAGCCAAGGAAGGGAAACATGGGCGTCGGACCTACCTGCCTTTCGGTGCGCAGTTGCCTCGGCTTTGGCCCCGTCGCGGGCCGAGTCGAGCTCCAAATGGCTGGGCCGGAACTTGGTGGCCGCCCATGACTGGCGGCACGTGGGCGAGTTGCCGATGCGTTTGGCGAAACGACACACATGGCGGAAATCCCGTAGGCAAGCCTGGCATCACGTGCCCGACGCGAACCTTGTAGACGAGCGATTGGCCTCGTGTGTTATCCCGACATGGCCCCTCGAAGCCTGCGGCGAAGTTGACGAGGAACCGCAGCCATGGCATCAGCCAGCGCCCGATGGGGGGAGCCCCAGGGAGCTCGAGTGGGGGCCCATCCGAGATCTTGCGGAGCTCCTCCTGCCAGATGGCCAAATGAGCTTGATCAAGGTAAAAGGGCCCAGCATGTTCGACGGCCGATCGGACTCTGGACAAGAAGCTCTTGGGCTCGCCCCTCGCAAGCTTAATCCAGGCGTCGTGCGCAAACTCGCCTGGAGCCCCAGGGCCCAACTGAAAGGCCAACCACTTAAGGTCGTTCTTGGCAAGGCCGCGCCAGCTGTCGAAATCATCCCACAAGAGGTCCGCAAGGGCCCGAACCATGGGAGGGGGCAAGCAAATGACGCGGGGTAGCAGGCGGAGTCGTCCGATCGCGCGCACGACGTCAGACGACCGTCTTTTCCCATTTAAAAACACATGAGAATTGGCAGCATGAGTTTCTGCATTCTTGGTCGTAGATACGACGAGAGCCGTGCGATGGCTGGCCGAGCGGGAGGTTGGCATTCGTCGTTAAGGATGCAGTGGCAACCGCTGCCACGCGGCTGCGCCGCAATGCAACGCCGCGGCGCCGAGCGCTTCTGATAGCACAGGTTCATGCTTGAGTGCCAAGGCCTTCCGAGGGGCAACCGTGGCCCACACAGGCCTGAGGGCCCCGCGGGACTTGGAGACCCTGGCCGCAATCTCGGGCCCATGGGGCCCGACGGAGGCGACCGAAGCACTCGGGACTTTCTGGCCCGACACCACAGGAAGAAAAGCCGCACCTGGTGGAGCAGACCTCGGACAGAGCCCCACAAGGCAAGTCGGCGGGCACTTTGCGAGAGCCAGGGCCACGAACGGCTACCAACAGCTTAGTCCCAAGCGCATTGGGATGAAATCCAGCACGGCGGGCCGAGCGACGCACGGTCTCCGAAATGCTCAAGTCCCTAGCAGGCGCGAGGTCAGACCTTGGGGCGGCGGCAATGACCGTGAGGTCGTCAACAAGTGAGAAATCTCGCTTTACCTGAGGCCAGTCCGCCGCCTTTGAAATACGTGGTTCGGGCTGCTCACAACACTCTTGTAGGCCGAAACCAGCCTCTTGTATCTCGGCTTGAATGTCTGACTGTACCTGGGCGAATACGACGTTCGAGGCGCCCGCGGCCCGGTCGGCCCCCCCACCCCCGAGAGAACGATACCATGGGCGCCTCGGACCCTCCAAGCCTTTCCCTTTTGAGTCTCCTGAATGATCGCAATAAGATGCGCAGCGG